CTCCCCGCCTGAGTTGGTAGTGACCTGTGTGTAAACCTGAATACATATGTGTAATGGAATAATCCATTTCCTTGTTCTGGGGGGTAGATGTGATATAAGTCAATGAGGCAGATCCGCTCTGCCACCGAACATTTTAGCTGTGCCTGCGTTGTGGCTGGTTACAAAGCGAGGTGGTGGCACACCCCCTGGGGATCCCCCCTCAATCCGCACAGCACCGCCCTGGGGACCTCATTAAGGGTGAGGAGTTTCTAGAACACCATGCACCCAAAACAACCTGCGCACACAGGCCCAGCTCAAAACACCAGGGAGCTCCGAGGGAGCACAGCATCAGCAGCCGGGAGAAGAGCTGTGCTTAGTGGCGGAGGCCGGCCTTCAGAAACGTGACAAATAAACGCTGTACCTGTTCCCAAGGAGAGGGCACGCGAGGCGAAGATGCCCCGGCTGCTGAAACACCTTCGTTATCGCAGGCGCGCCAGGGCGCGAAATCGCACTGCCGACTCGAACCACAACACCCTCCGCATACGGCAGGCTGGGCCAGGGGTGTAGCACAGCACCGTGAAAAGAAACGTCTGGGGCTCTAACACTATCCTGACTGCACTCCTCTCTCCTCTCTCCCAGGGATCAGGGGTTCGAGCCCTATCCTGAACTCTCCTCTCCCCCCCAGTCCTGGAGGTCCTCTGAGCTCCACATTATGACCGAGATGCGGAAGAAGCTCTTCCTGTGCCTTCCCTGCATCTGCCTGGTCAACCTCTTCCTGTACGGCTTCGTGTTCCTGTCCGTCTCCCTGTCCCACCACCCCCCGGCCTCCGGGGCGTCCCGCGACAAGCTGCGCCCCTCGCCGGGCCAGCCCGTCCAAGCCGGGGGTGCCTTCTGGGCCACGGGGCTGGACGAGAGCGCGCTGTGGAACCTCCTCCAGCACATGCTGGACCGGCGCCACAACCCCCTGCTCCGGGCCAACGCGTCCCGGCCCGCGGGGAACGGCTCGGAGCCGCCGGAGGGCGGGGCCACCCCGGGCCCGAGGCCCCCCCTGGCCGGGATCTGGGCGGAGCAGCGGGAGTGGAGCGGGCCGTGCCGCAGGGACCCCCGCATGGCCGCGCACCTGGGGGACTTCAACACGCTGCCGGGGCACGTGCAGGACTTCGTGGTGTCCATGCACTGCCGGGAGTACCCCCTGCTCATAGACCAGCCCCGGCTCTGCCAGGGCGGGGCCCCCACGCTGCTGCTGGCCATCAAGTCCCAGGTGGGCAACTTCGAGAACCGTCAGGCCATCCGAGAGACGTGGGGCAGGGGGGGGCAGCTCGGGCCCTGGACCGTGCAGACGGTGTTCCTGCTGGGGAGGCAGGACCCCTCCCTGGGCAGCTACCCAGACCTGGGGGGCCTGCTGCAGCTGGAGCAGCAGCTGCACCCCGACATCCTGCAGTGGGACTTCAGGGACACCTTCTTCAACCTGACGCTGAAGGACGTGCTCTTCCTGCGCTGGTTCGCCCGGCACTGCCCGGCTGCCGGCTTCGTCTTCAAGGGCGACGACGACGTCTTCCTCAACACCGGCGAGCTGCTGCGCTTCCTGGCGGCGCAGGAGGCCGCCGGCGCGTCCCGGGACCTCTTCGTGGGGGAGGTGATAGTGCAGGCTGCCCCCATGCGCGACCCCGCCCTCAAGTACTTCGTCCCCGAGAGCTTCTTCAAGGGGGGGTACCCCCCGTACGCGGGCGGCGGGGGGGTGGTGTACTCGGGGCCGCTGGCTCTGCGCCTGGCCCGGGTCACCGAGCGCGTGACGCTGTTCCCCATCGACGACGTCTACCTGGGCATGTGCCTGCTGCGCCTCGGCGTCGCCCCCTCCACGCACCCCGGCTTCCGCACCTTCGACATCGAGGAGAAGGACCGCGCCGAGCCCTGCGC